GACAGAGTTTTGGTGAGAGAAGAGATAGATTGTGCTGAGTTTTAACAGTAGGAGGGCAGCACTGGCAGCCATATAACCCAAACTATAAAGTCCTGGCCAGAGAATCTCTCTGCTGCTGCCGTCAGGCGTGCTCTGACTGACAGGTGCTGAGACGGATCATTAGCACCCTGTCTTGACATATTTGCGTGACAGGACCCATCACATGACACCCACTGCAAATCTGAGGATGTTTGTCATTTAACATACAATTATCTTAATATAGGGAGGCAAATTATGTCCATCCAAATTACCATTTACATGGTTTCCATGTAAACCAACAACATGGCAACTGTGAACAAAGGAGCCAGTGCTGGGGTTGTTAAATATAACACTTAAAATTAAAGCTTTCAAACTGCCTGGAGCGCCTTGACAAGCTCACTTTATGATTCTATTTTATGTGAAGGTAATAAATATATAATTTTTTGACCTACGGGGGGGGTGATGAACGGCTTCTTGTTTTGATTTTTTGCTCCCGACGGACACAACTTGAAAAGCAGAAGAAAAGTTTTTTGGCGGCTCTCTCCATTCATCCCAGGAGGAACCAGATGCTCCCGTCCTGCCAGACAAAGCCGGGAACAGCTGCCTGATCGATACCCGACAAAGGCTCAGAGGTTAGAGCAGTCAAAAGATTGTTAACTAGCCATTTTATTTGCCAGACATTTATATCATTGTTTATGGTTCAGCGCACCCCTTCAGTACAGGCCATGCTGCACACCTGTGCTTGGAACACTTTCAGACCACATTGCATGACCTCAAAGGAAAAATGGCACCCGTCTCCAAGTCAGATTGTGACATAGACAGATAGATGGACAGATGATAGATATGGTTATTTATGTTTGCTATTTTTCCTGCTATATTTACATCATTAATATTCATGTCACCACATTTTGTGTCATTGACAGCAGCTCATTTGCAAAAAAAAAGTGACCCTGAAATAGCTGACTGGCTATCTATATGAAGGGGGGGGAAAAAAGCATTAATGTTTGTTTTAGGCTGAGTGCAATGTGCAGGTGTGAGTGTGCATTGACGGCGGCAGAAGAGGATGGGATTGGCCTGCATTTGCACATTCCTGCATATGCATGTGTATTTATGTTTGTGTGAATATGAGTGTTGGGTGTACCATGCGTCCCAGCCGGCAACACATGGCTTTGCTGCCACCACTCTGGCTCGTGTTGAGTGTGTCCCTGCAGGCTGGCAGAGAAGGGGAGACCCTCTCTGTGGCTCACCCAGGCGGAGAGGGGCTTCCTGCACATCTTTTGTCACACCATTTGGGCCCTTGTGTCTGTGGCTGCTCCGCTCCGGACCCTCTTGGCAGCTCACAGTGCAGACGGACATCTGCTCTTTGCAACCTCCTGGTGAACAGAGAAAACAACAACCAACAGAGCCTGCTCTCTCTGCTCTGCATACAGTTACACAGTGTCTGGAAGGACAGTGACAGTGTTTGGATGCAGCAGCAACAAAAATCTATCTATCTATCTATCTATCATAAAATCAGTGCACCAAATTCATTTAAGGATAATCTGTTTCTTCATTTTTATAAGTAAATGCCAGAGTTTTAATAATGTGCCCTATGCATTTATAGTTTTCAAGTAACTGTGCAGGAAAAAACAACAAGAAGTAATAAGTATGACTAAATGCACCCTGAGCAGCAGCGGTCTAATTGCTGGTGAAAGCCACAAGTGATTACCTTCAGTTTTCTTCCAGAAAAAAATCTTTTGAAAAGGAAGGCCTTCAGATTACCGACGTGCTTTGTAAACCTCCACATTAAAGTATATTTCTGCATCTCTGGCTTGACTCCTTTCTCCCGGTTCTCTAAGCGGAGTGATTCTGGAGCACGCAATATTGAACACACTTTGTTCGTGCTCAGCGGCCCAGAATAACTCGGTCATTATGGTGGCGAAAGGGACAGGTTTTGAGTTTGATTTCATGATGGTAATATAGCCCATGTGTGTAGGAGAAGAAAGCCTTCAATGGGGACATCTGTTCAATGCGGCTTACAGTTACAGCCGCGCGATAAGAACAACCTGTGCACACCATATGAACTAGGAGCGACCCTTTAGCCGCTGAACGCAACAGGCAACAAAAGATTTTTTTAGGGGGGAGAGGTGTAGTGCGCCAAGAATAAATTAGACAATCACATTTTGAAGTGCGCACGGATTAAATATCATCGTGTACCTCTGCAGCTTCAGCAGCAAGCCGTTTCCTGTCGAGCAGTTATCACACTGACCTCTGACATCAGTCTTGCTGGTATGATCGCTTGGTAATTTGTCACCAGAGGCCAACATGTCCCCTGTAGCTGCAGCCCTTACCTTGCTCTCCAAATGCGTAAAATCACTATTGCGCATAATATTGTGGATGATCCTCCAGGAGGAAGAGAGGAAAGGGGAAAACCAGTTTGAACACAGGTGTTTAATTGTTTGATGCTGAAATATAAACTCGAATTATATGTACAAATATTATCTTTATGCAGCCGTGAGGCGTTTTTTTAGTGCAGGTAGAGGAATCAGGGGTCGGCGGATATTTTCCAAGTTATTCCTAATTGAACTGCCAGTGTAACATTTATCTGGCATGGTTCACAGTCACACCGGCAGCAGGAGATGTTGTGTTTTACTCTACTGAGAGCAAACGTCGAGGGTCAATCAATGCACTGCGGAGCGGAGAAGCACGGTATGTAGGTTTTATTCTCCGTCATTACTTTGTCACATTTTATTCGCCTTTAAACGCGGATGCATAATGTCCACACGCTTGCTATGATTTTTACATAGTTTGTGCGAATGGTTAGTTTGGAATAAAATAATGAATGAGCAGAAAACAGATCGATACAAGTCCTTTCTTATTTCCAACGTCAATAAGACAAGTGAATGTGTGTGTTTGTGTTTTTTCCCCGTTTATCTAAAATCGGTGCTTGCTTTCATGTAAATTTAAAGCTCATCGTGATTTGCCGTTTTCCCTTAAATAACCCAATCGACACTTTACGCATTAGTGTGAGAGCAAGCGTGCATTTAAAGAGTAACTTTAAATATAAATAGATATCAAATACTAATTGTACAAATGTCAGAAAATTGTTAAAATTGTCTCTAAATATTTGTAAATATTTGCAGCTAAATAGCACGTGCTGCGAGAATAATAATTAAGATAAGTGCGTGTAAAATGTTGCTGCATCTGTTTCGCAGTGTGTTTTTTTTAACTGCAACATTATGAATAATTTGGGCTGTTTTAGTTTTTCCGCTCCTTCATTTTTTACACCTGAAGGTAAAGCGGTGTAAATTAATCCAAAAAGCTGTTGTCCAATCCTAGAAACACAAGAATTAATCAGCTAGTCCATCTATCACGCTGTGCAATAAAGGAAGCGACATGGGTTAGGCAGATGATGTGATGAATAATCCCTGGTCGTTTTAATTAACTTTTCCCTGTCCTGTAATGACCAAGCTGGTCAACAGACCCGGTCAATAAGCATGTTAATATCAAACAAATAAAACTGCGGATGATTAAAAACCTCCTGCGTTATTAAATTTGAAATTCAAATGAAATTTATGCTCCCAGTGCGCACTGCATGCTAATAGCGCCCACAGAGAGTCCCAGGGTTCAACGCACGTCTTGCCCACAAGTTCTTATTATGTAACAGGAGCTTCCTCCGTACATTTAACTAAATGTCAGCGGAGCAAAGTGATGAGCCTATTCAGTATAACCAGCTTATCATTTTATTTTCACTCTGACACACAGTGCAATCACTTACTTTAATAGATAATCTCAGTTAACCTGCGGTACCAACAGGCTCTATAGTGCCAATAAACCACCTTGGGAAACATTTTGAATTTTGCCATTTTGCAGGCTGAAAATGCTCCAAAGTCAACTGCATCGACCCCTTCATCATCTTCTTCATCATCTCATGTTTTAGACTAATATAATAAAATGAATAATCCTCCACCGGAATGCACCGTCTACCAGTTTTAATCAAAAATGGTTAAGATAATTGAACGCAATTACAGTAATGTGGAAGTTTGAGACGGTGTAATATAGGCGCACCACCAGAACAATGCAGCCTTTATAGCTCGTGTAATAGTTTGTGTATATTAACTCTTAAGAAGTCAAAACGTGCAAAATCCCGCAGGGTGATTTATGTCAGAGGCAGAATAAGTTTTTAATATGAGGAGGATAAAGGGGGGGGGGGGGGGG